GATTTTTGTGTTAAGTATATAGGAAGCATAGTACTATAAATTCAATTGTTAAGTTGAGGGGTGAATGGCTTCACAGACGAAAAATCGTCATGTAAGGTAAAAACAACGAGCAGACTAGGATGGTTCCCGTGTTTATTCCTGCTTATAGCAGAGGTAAAAAAGGCCGCGAGAGCATTTAGAGCAGAAATTTACCAAACGGCAAATAGATTTCCTTTTCACGATTTGAGCAGAACAATCATTTTTAGTGGGAGCGTCTTTATAAGTGTGAGTTGCTTTAAAATATCCGAACAGACGGATACATGGTTTGTTGAACTCCTGTACAGTGATCATTACGGAGCACAGACAGCAGGATGTATCTAAATGAATAGAAAATTTCGAATTTTCCGCACACATCTTATGTACGCATACCTATGCAATCCTTGTTGAATGGTTATGGAAACAATAAAGAGAAGTAAGCGATGAAATAGAGTACACGACAGATAATTCGTGTATCCTTCCGATAAGTTGCAGAAGTGCGTATTTAGTCCGCAGAGTGTTACTGTAGTTAGTTTAGTACATCGCATCCTGTTGCCTGCATTTATAATTTATATAGCCTATATCACTTTGTAATATGGGGATGCCTCAGTTCTTATCCTTTTACGATTAATATAATTTACAGAAAATTGTAAATCAAAGCACAACTTAGTTTAACTGCTTACTGAATTATAGTGTTTTTAAAGGTCTCTCAGGTATGTCAAAGGGTCTGAACTTTAACATGGATTTGTCATAGCTTTGAAGTGTTTAACATGTACAAAATTTTAAAGTGCACTAGGCAACAGAATACTGGGAGTGCCCAAAAAATGCTAGGGCAACCCTTATTGCCAACCTTCTTTGAAAGCCCATGCATATATTTACGTTATTTTGGAATATCTATCGGTAACTTAATTTTAGTAGGAATCATTGTAACTTCTTCAGTAGTCCTTTTGATCTTCGTAGCCAATCAAGTCACGAGCCAGTCACTGGAAGTGCTACAGAGATCATCATCAAAGTCGCCTGAGTATCAAGGAGATGTTGGAACGAGTAATGAATACAGTATTGTAAAATTAGGGCACTGCGTCATAACCATACTATTACGTGTTTCGTTAATCAGGTCACAGCAGTTGTCCCCAGAAAAGCTAAGGACAACTGATGACAATCTTATCTTTAAAGAGGAGCTTAATCAGTTACCTAATAGGCGGCTATCATTTCATTGAGTTTTATTATTTTCGTAATATCTAGTATAAATGTTATCACATTTATCAATCGATAAACAAAAGGTATTTGTTAATTATCAGAAGCTGTTCATAAAAAGGCGAAGCTTATATTTATTAGCAGTTTGCAGTAAATATACCAGAATAACATTTTCAATCAGCTCCAAGCGAGTTTCCTACAATGTAATAAAAAAACAACAACTAAACAAACGGCCCACTTCCATCACAAAAACGAGTTTGATTTTTTTCACAATGATGTAGTTCGCGTGATCTCGATAAGAAATCACTATTAGATCGAGCCTACTTAAGGACCATCTAAATGTACCTTAGTCCGGCAAGGTATGCTCTCTGGACCTGATGTAGAACCTCAAAGATTAGTCACTGAGTGGAATGGTCGCTGCCCTAAAAACTTAGCATATCTGTCTGGCCTTTGTAAAACTATCGAGAACGCCCTTCTCAAACTACACTTTTGACGGCGCTGAAGAGGTCGAGCATTACAACTTTCTTAAGTCTTTTTTCACGATGAATATTTATCCAATATCGATTGAATTTCCGCCAATTTTTCATTTGCCTAATTCTTGGGGAGTTCGTAGTCAGTTACCTAATTCAGTAACCACTGACTATAGTTAACGAAAGCTTTGTTCGTAAAATACAACTCTTCTTAGAGAAAAGTATCTCTGTTGTAAATTCAGTTATGTTTAGTTACGCACCACTTCTTTGTAGAACTTTTAGAATGAACTTTATTAATACAAGTGGACAACACTTCCTTAGCGAATGAAAAGTAAATTTAGCATAATCAGCAACGGATGTCGTAAATCAGTTCGTATAACGATCACTTGGATGCACCACCAGATAGTAAAATTGGAATCAAGATAATTGTATCGAACATCGAGCAGAACTATATAAAAGGCTTTGGGAATTTCGAACTCTGAAATTCAATTTTGATTGCTTATTCTCCTAATTGTTGTATGCTACTTTTACTGGACAGGAATACTTTCAGCCCGCCTGCTCGAATACGTGGACGGTTTGAACGTGTAGAGTTCCATAAACCGGGTTTACATAAAACGCTCCAACAATCGCAGTGAAGCTGCTCGTTAACATAACCAGAATAGAAAGGGATCATCAGCACCGAAGCATTTAGTTTTCAAAAATGGTTCATATAATTTATTTTGAGATACTGTTCTATTTATTGTGTATGCGCGATACGAACATGAAGCTACCATATTGGTGGTTCAGTCAAGTACCCGATCACTCTTGTCAAGGCAATGAACCAAATGCATATATCCGCTCGTGACATTTCGTTGTTCGATATACACTCCACCGCCTGGGGGCCTCACTTTCAAAAAAAGAAAATAATAGAAGGTATGCAAAAATGATGGCGCCGACACGGAAACACTAATCATGTAGGCTTCTATCGCCTCACTTCAGAATTGGCGATGTTTTGATCCAACGGCGCAAAGTTAACTTCACCGAAAAATACTTCAATCTCAGATCGAACCCAAGAAAGCATGCTTCATTATTCCTAAAGTCTCAGACTCAACTGCAACATTTGCGGGTGTAACACGCGTGTAGGTAGATTCGTGAGCGCGGTCTCCCCTCAAAACATGTTTTCTGACATGTAGGTAGAGATGATTATGCTTTCATTTCAATACTATAAACAGGTCCATTTATGGTTTATAGACCGTTATTTGTGTGAATAAAGCAAAATAGTGCAATTAAAATTAAATGCCATTAAGTAAGGATATGTTTATATGTTTTTCCCAGGCAAAATACACTTTCGTTCAAAGACCTGTACTGTTATATGCTTTATGTTATGTCTATGAAAAAAATGGCAGTGTTCAAGCAGCCACTAGAGCTAAGATTAAGTCCAATTTCAAAGCAAGTTGTTAACCATAATCAATATGGTGCTGTGGCACTACAACTGTGTTTACTTAACCACTGTCGAACCAATGTGGCGTCGGCTTATTCAGTATTGCTGTATGCTTGTTTGTCTTAAATTGCACTTTATACTTGTTTTCTTGCAACGAACAAGCCTCAAATTTGAAATGACCTGTAACAATAGACATTGAATATATTTAGCTGATGCCCTCCACATAATTTTACATTGTATGCTTGTCTTAGTCCGACTATAATGATATTGATACCCACACTATAATACGACTATAAATAAAGGTCGTATTATAGTGTGGCTCTCGTCTTGCCTCGTTTGCCAGTATCACATGCCGTAAAATCCGTCGAATTTTGGGTGTACGTATACGTCACATTGTCATACTGATTCAGAACAAACAAAAAATGGTTTAGTTAATGGGACACTTGCATTGATAAAGCTTTAATTTACACCCTTTAATGAGGATCACACACTATAAAGGATCGATTTTGAATGTAATAATGGCTAATACAAGGCAGAATACATAGTTTAGACAAAATCTGCGTATTCCATTACCGTCTGTGTTCTGAACACCTTATGTAGGTGGATTATGGTAAACGATCCTCTGTGTAGAATTCCTCTAGCGTTCCATTCTATCCATAGCGTTCCTTGGTAATTACCAACTATTTCGCTGCGTTAGTTCAAGCCGCAAGTGCCTAACATTGATTTATGTCGACGTATGTTTTGTCCACTCACCTATGTCGCAATTATGGGTAACATTTATGTGAGATCACAAACACGTTAGGTTCTCACTGATTTCTCGAATATATTAATGTAGACCCTTCTATCGGCTCTAAGTGATTTCATGACGATGCTGCACCAGAAGTTTTTTGTCTTGAATAAGGCCACCTCGCTTCAGGAATATGATTCTCTGTGTACAACTCGTGTCATACTATGCAGTAGTTGGCTTTAATGATCTACCAACGGTATACTGGACCCATTGTTCATCAACAGTACGACGCATTGCTGAAAATCTAAGTAACTAGTGTTTGAATATGGGAGGATGCAGTAAGTGTTAGGTTTTTAGAAAATATTTCGTACAAGCTGTCACCATTCGTTAAAAAATATGAAGACTTATGATTAACAATACGTAGATATATAAAAATAACTTGTTTATTGACACAGATTGTGTAATGCTTATGTATAATTGGCGGCACTCGAAACAACGACCTAAAATAGGCCGAAGGGAACCAGTTTACTTCAGACAGATGCGTGGTTGGCACGTCGAGCGATGTATGTCAAATAGGTTTACTATAATGGTACAAATATTCGGCTATAGCAGATTGTGCTTTATATAATACATTTGCGGTCCGATTCATTATTTACGCCTGAAATTTTTAGCACAACATCTCTATAGTTAAATGTTTGGAATATCTACCTCTGCATATAATATTGTCTATCTTGAGGGTCAGGCAGTCAATCTGATAAGAGATAGCTACGTGGCTGAATGCTCCGATATGATTACAACTAATACGAGTATAGCGGATAAATAGACGAATGCGGCGATGTGATATAGCTTAAAGTAGTAGAAACGTAGTTACCTGCCATAGATGCCAGTCTGTTGCTCTTCGTACCACTAGTGCCGTGGTTATGTTCTGTCCATGGCCGAATGTTACCATTCAGTCAGTTGCTCGACGAAGCTTTGCCTTCGCAGACTGGCTTGCTCCAGCAACTGAATTGCCAATCGCTAAGGTAAAAGCCAAATTATCCTGATAAGCTAAAACTATTGTTAACTAACGACGCTAGCTAATCAAAGTAACCCTCTCAACATCACTCAAAGGCCGCACATAAACGTAAGAATAATTTTTCAGGCGGTTTAACTCCCTCTGTCACGATCATGCAAAATGATGTACAGGGAGGAACTGGTAGGTCTAGCTCAAAAGTGTCATATAAATCCGAGCACGCGTGCGGCCAAAAAAGTACTTCAACCTCTTCAACAGACTTGGGCTAAAATTGTACACAGGCTAAGAAGCGACCAGAATGTAGACGTCTGCTATTATGATCTTAACCAGCCTCGCTGTGCTGGGAAATGCTGGACACGCTGACTATGGGGGTAATCTTGGCAGTGGCGAAGGTGGTCTGGGTGATTATGGAGGCGGCTACGCAGAACTTGGCGGAGACAAGATAGGACCTGGTCCAGGTGGTAACCTCGGTGGATATAAAAATTAGGAGCACTACGCCCCGAAGGTGAACTACGTGGTGAAAACTATTCGGAAACCCGTGCCAGTACCGCATCCAGTGCCGAAGCCATACGTGGTCCCAGTACACAAACCGCTGCCTTTATACAAACCTATCCCTGTACCTAAGCCATATCCGGTGCCACACGTTATCCCACAGACGTACCCTGTGCATAAGGAGGTCCCAGTCCCCAAAGAGGTACCTGTGGCGGTTCCATATGAAGTGAAGAAGCCGTACCCTGTGCCTCATGTAGTTAACGTACCCAAGCCGTACGTTGTACACGTACCTAAGCCATACGTTGTCGAGCAGCCGTATAAGGTGCCACTCCACGTTAAGATTCCCCAGCCATATGTTGTTCCTGTCCACAAACCCTACCAAGTACCAGTAACGAAACCTTATCCCGTTGAAGTGCCCGTAGTCAAAGAAATTCCTGTTGCTATTAAGAAACCTGTGCCTATACCCATTCACCGTCATCATGGACAGCACAAGGTTTAGGCGAGACTAAAAGCACCAACACGTTTAATGAAGATGGATCCGGGTATGCCTAACTTGTACATCCAACAATGTACATAAGCAATAAACATCTAGACTATGTCTAAAATGTATATTTTGTATTACTAATCAGGAACAACAAAAGTAGACAGTTGCTAATTCTTGACGCTATTGAAACTAACTAGCTAAATCAGTTAAGAATACCAGTAATTTTCTTTATATTGTAACCCAGCTTCCGCCCGATATTTAACTACTGAGAAAGAGATCATTACATAAGTCGTAAAGTCCAATGTTTTTATGCTTGCGTAGTATGCTCAGCAATTTTCTTGATATTGTAAGCGAGCTTTCGTCCAATATTTAACCACTGAGAAGGAGATCATTACATTAAGTCGTAAAATCCAATGTTTTTATACTTGCGTAGCATGCTCATCGTCTGTACATTAAGCTTCTTATGTAAATATGGACATTATAATACAATTGCCTCATAATAAGAGTAAACATCTCGCGACAGAGTTGTATTAAAACTTAAAATCCACCTTAAAGCTTATGTCTTAAAATAAAATAGCAACGACAAGAACACAGATCAGATATAACATCGTCAATATAGTTTTGTTTCTTAGCTGCTGTTGTTCCTTTGTTCTTGGGCTCGGTCCTTGGTGGAATCTCCGCTCGATTTTTCTGCAAATAGAACGAAAACACAAGTGATAAAAGACGTTTACTTCTGAACATGCCTTGGCTTCCAGTCACTCTGTATCTATGCTTTATAAGAACGCAGGTTAAAACATGACGTCGGTGGGGCTCTACGCTAAAGATAATGCTGAGGCTTGTATTATGATTGTTTACTATTGCTTCAGTTATAATAAATTCTTGCTGCCTCAGAGTACCTTTAGATTACATTATTTTCGAAATGCTACGGCTTTTTCTCTAGCTCACAAAGATTAGATGGATAACTGACCTAATCAGACTTAAGATATCTTCTATATATTATTCCTTAGGGACGTGTATAATTACCTATTTTGTGGGGCTAGACAAAAAGGGTATCATTATCAAACAAACCTGGGTCTCAAACATGTCTAACCGTTCTTGAGCGTTTAAATGTGCAGTGTAAGGAGCCACAGTAAAGTTTGGTGGTCAATGATTGGCATCATTAAACATTTTCTTTAATGAAAGGAATAATTATCTAGTAACGTCCAGAACAGCTTTCAACAACCGCTGCAAAACAATAATATACCAGTTCAATAAGACCTCGATACGACATAATGTATGAAGGTGCAATGCTATGCCAATTTGCGCGAGGGACTTCCTTAAACTTACGCTTCCTATACAGCCTCACACGTCAGTCTGCAAAGTGACGATAGCGCGTAAATACTACACCTAAATACTTTTCCAACTTTCTATATTTAGCTGTATTCCTACGCCAGTTATATATATATATATGTTAAGTTATAAGCAATTCTTAACAGAGGTGCCGTTATGCCATTGCGTCACGTTGATAAATATGGGTGACAATGATGAACCTGGAGTATAGGCCAGAAAAGTGCACAGATACATGCAACGTATAATTTTAAGGCTTTTAGTATCATTATTACCTTTAGATGTTTTTAAATTTGTTATAGGGCAGTTCGCCGTCAGGTCCAGGTTTCCTCCAAAGTTGAGTTTTTGGAGGTAAGGCTGAAGGAATTTCCATAAAATAAGAATCACCGGAATAAGTGGTGCTAGGATACACGGTATGCAAACCATTTTGACTGATAATTCACGACTCTCCTATCAGATTCTCTTGCGGTGCGATGATTCACCAAGCAAATTTCGTCAACCCTCGGAGTCACGCGACAAGCTATGGCACGCAAGTCTAAAAAAATAAAGTGCTGTTTAATTGTATAAAATACAGCACTGGCTTCTGGTAGTAGGCACTGATAAAAATGATCCTTGCTACCATTTTATAGTCGTTATAATCAGACACTGTTAAACGCAGACGCCTAGTTGATCCAACAATGAGCAGCAGATGGCCGTCCTGAAAGATGATAAGATGAGAGGGAGATGGTACTTTGCGCCACCCGGAAGTTTCAGGCGGGGCCGATTCTTGCGTAGATCGAATAAAAACAATAATGAAAATTAAAGAAACTACAAACGCTTTTTTTTTTTTATAGACAGGTACTTGCACGAACATGATATAGCCGTTGTACTTCTGCATTGCAAAAAGTAATCCGAACGTATAGTAGATTACTACAATTTGGCGTGCTTCCGAGTGTACCGAGGCTTCTAATATTGCCTTAATCACTTTATTTGTTCTCGTAATAATGCGGACTATATAGCCAATAGACAGAAATTTTGCAGATAATAACACAAAATAATACTTCCAATAGCAAAAATACCCTGGGTATTTAATAATGTTTAAATTTAATTAACACCCGCCACTCGACAGCGATGCTAGCGCCCTTCCAAAACACACGTTCTATTTACCTGGTCCTGCAGGCAGTCGAATAGCTTCACATGGTCAAAACTTTTATAAACTGGTAAAGTTATCCGGAGTGGCTTTTAGTGTGAAAAGGCATCATGAAGATTGCCCGTAGTGGGTCAACTAAGGCAAAGAAAGGTGCCACATGGAAAAAAGGACAAGCCTGTAGTTCTAATCCGACGCGAAGAAAATTCCGTGATGCGGTGCGGACCGGCACATTTAAGAATGTGATTAAAGGTTGAAACTTATGTAAACACATAAATTAGCATGCACTACTGTAGCCGACCCGTCATACTAATTATTGTTGTGCTCTGTTGGGTGCGTTTAGATCAATAAATAGATGTGTACAACTTCTGTTAAAATGTAACCTCTATGAGGTACGGCCTCAGTTAAGCCTGTAGCTAGTAGGGTAGTTCAGAAATATACAAAACAAAAGGATAAGCTCAATTATATATATAAGAAAAGTTTTGTATTATTCTATTATAATCTAGTACATGTACTCTGGTCATAAGAAGGATATCACATTTTGAATTGAATGAGTACGTGATTAAATTGATCGAAATTATTCCAAAATATTAAGTATACCGAGTGCTCTTTTTAATTAACCCAGATACGTAATGGATTGCTGCACGCAGGCCTGCTTTCCGTCAATGAATCTGAACACACGGGCCCTGCCTGACTGAAATTATAACTTCTCAGTCTTCTTAACATTAAAGCAATTTGTTTGAGCAGTATCTAACAATTTTTTTTTAAATAACAGCTAATACAAACATACGCTACTAGAATGTAAGCTCAATGTGATTAGAAAAAAAAACAAAAACAGGCGCAGTTCACGTTCTGTTGTAATAAGCAACCCCATTGTATATCTATTGTTGCATTTTTAAGGCGTCTGTTGGGGCATATCCGCGCTCAGCTTCTGATGTATGTGAACTTTCGTTTCCAATAGAATTATAATAATACTGACATAATGGCGCTTTTAATTGTAACAGAACATGCGTATTCTGGATTCGTTTCGTTCGTAGTTCCCTAGTAATTAGTTGTAATGCGCATTGAAAATCGCTATAACTAACAATATATTTCTCTTCCAAATTCATTTTGCATTTTTCAGCGAATGGTATAGTGGTACTTGTATTCTTCTGCTGACATTTTTTTCTGAAGCGTTTGAAAAGATGGAACCTTAGTACAAATGTGTAGTTCATAGTGTTTCGTCGTCTCATAAACGCGCCACACATCTACTGTAAATAACTCCTTTTTCAGTTTTTTACAAATTAACTAAACCAGTTCACAGTGAAATTATTTATTTTGAGTTTAATCCTCCCATTGGACCTATCATTTATAAAGAACGAACAATATTTGCAATAAATATATTTCTTTCTTGTCGTGCCGTTAATTTTAGAGAGCGGCCTAACGTCTGCAGCTCTTAGTCAACATGATAATAAATATGCCTCGTCGACTATGGACTCTCTTCTCCAAAGGACTATTGACCATCAAGACGCCACATTAGATCGGAGTGGATCGGGCAACGAGATGGAGGATGTCCGCTCCGTGGCGTCATCATGGGCAACTGATTTCTCTGCCTGCACAAATATGTCCTTCAATCGCCTCATGGTACGTTAACTATAAAGCTCGGTAAATAACACAACCTTTTGTCATCACCTCACAGGATTTACTTGTACCGACAACACCAGGAATGAAATAACCGGCACAAATACTATGCATTTAAAATGCTGTGTCTTTATTATCTGCCGACTTTTATTTATCTCATATAGACGAACTGGGATCCTTCGAGTGCACTTCACAAGGAAATGTTGGCTGTCTTAGCAGCAGTGACAGAAGTAATCAAGGAAAAAGGCGGTCAAGAAACAGAAACGGAGTATTTTGCGGCATTTCTCACATCGCTAACGACCCTTGAGTCCGACCTAAGTATCACAGCAGCGGTTGCACTCATCAACATGGTTATCAAACGAGTTCCACCATCTCTTCTCCGTCAAAGGTTCTCTGACATCTCACAGGTAAGTTTTCACACAGATCAAATAGTGTTGCCGTTTATATACATTCATACTACACGCTCTATGGATTTACTGAAGTTCGTTTTTTGCCTATAAAAAATTGTGGATTAAATGACTTGGCTCATAAAAATGTTAAATCAAGTTCTGTGAAGTTTGTTCCGTGGAGTTTATCGGCAATGATCTATTATAACGAAACGTATAATAGTCTTTTCGAACTTAGATATTCAATGGAGTTAACCTAAGTTTAGTGAACCTTTATGAATTATTTATTATTTTTTGTCAAGTTACCAGCAACACAACGTGCACGTGGTCAGTTACAGTGTCTTTATCAGAGTTTTATTCTACTCTATGCTTTTCTCGTTTGGTGATTCGAGGTGATATATTCGCTTTTAGCCCGTTTCGCGGAGTCTGACCACAACGCCGTTCTATGTAGTCTCCTGAATATAGCGTCGTTCGTCTGCAGACAACAGGATGCCTCTCGCTGGACGGTGGAGACAAGTTCTTTGAAAAAATCCGAAACCTGTCGACTCTTCAACGCCGTTCTGGCCTTTGTGACTCACGTGAAGCCGAAGGTGGATAAACAGCTTATTTCCGTCTCTGTCTTATAAAGGCTAAATTTAAAACTATTACCTGTACAGAACCTTCAAAATAATCTATAACAACAAAAGCATCTACTATCAGACACCATTTTTTAATTGTAGTTGTAAAAGTAGGAGACAAATCGACAACACCAATTGTACACTGAAAGCACCAGTAACAATAAGACCCGCCAAACTTGTGTGGTGATTTCAGGTGAGGCGAGCAGCGCAAAAGAACGTCTGTGGCTTGATGCGTTCATCACCAGAACATCCGTCAACGATACTGTGCGGAGCCTATGTGAACGACCGCATGGAAGAATTCCGTCAGAATGGCAACACCGTGTCTCTACTACACCTCCTTACCTTTCTCTCATATAGCCTTCCCTTGTTACCATCAAAAAACATCAAGATCATAGCAGAAAACATCCTCAGGACGATGAAGCTGAACGATCCTCTCGTTATCGTACAAGGCTTGACGACATTCTCAAATATGTTCATGTACGAGACGACTCAGCTACTGATTCGACCGGATACAAATGCCAGGCTCATAAATGCTTTGTATGAAATGCAACCCGGAATCAACGATCCTCAGCCATGTACTGCTTGGCTTATGGCAATGCGTAGTGCTCTTGTACATCTGCACAAGGGGGATGTATCGTTATTTTCTTTGAACGTCTGGAAGTTTATCCAGGTCGCCGTTAACGTGTTCTTGTGCGAAAACGAAACTGTTCATGCCGTCACGGAGAAAGTTATAATTGAGTTGCTGCAGTTATGCGGTCCAATTGGGGAGGAGATGAAGACACCTTTACCAGGTGGCATTCAAAGTACCTCCGCCGAAAAGATTCTGACCGCTCTTGAGAGAACGCTCACATACCAGTTCCACTTGGCATGGCCCAACGTATTCGCTGTGTGGGGTGCTACCTTTTCTGCGCTTGCTAAAGTTCTACCCGATAGGCTTACAGCTAGTGTCTCCGTTTTGGCGGATCTTCGTGAATCGAACAACTTTGAGTACAGTATGCAGCTTGATCATGCAGTTGGTGCGGCTGTTCGAGCCCTCGGACCTAAACGTGTACTGGAACAGGTACCATTAAGGATTACGGGCGTGGAGGACGATCCTAACTTTCCACGAAGTTGGCTTTTGCCCGTACTGCGTGACAATATAAAAGAAACTGAACTAAAGTTCTTCATTGACTACTTCTTCCCCTTGACTGGTAATCTAAGTCGAGCAGAAAGCGCGGCCCAACAGAATAAAAAGAAGCATATGGAGGTCGCGTATCGTGTTTTGGGTAACCAGGTGTGGTCTTTGCTGCCTGCATTTTGTGTGCGAACAACTGATGTGAGAGAAACTTATCCAAAGGTTGCACCAACTCTTGCTATACTGCTAACTGCCAGGCCTGACCGACGTCTTCCTATACTGTCGGCTTTACGGAAACTTATCACGACAAGCACGACGCCAAGCGTCATCGGCACTACTGCTGATAGGTTCCTTCCCACGCTGTGTTCTCTCTACATTAAGAAAGCGGAAAGCGAAAGACTTGCCCTGTATGAAACGATTCGAGCTTTTGTCACAGTATCCGAGCAAGAGCTTTGTTGTACAATGTTTAACACAGCGATGGAAAAAATAGGAACGGTGCAAGGTGAAGACGCTACATTTACCAATATGGCCTTTACGGACATAGCTCGGGCACTACTGCCTAAAGTTACAGAGGCTGAAGGACAAAAGTTGTACCAATATTGTGTCGCTAACTTGAAGAGCGGAGCCCGAACAGAACAGAAAAAAGCTTATCTGACCCTTGAAGACCTATTCCGCGCGGAATGCTGCCGCCGGATCGTTGAAGAAAACCTCAACGATATTCAAAAGCTACTCGTTACATCTGTTTCAAAGGTTAGCGACCAATTTGTTGCTGTTATTATAGCAGCCATGACATTTAGTATCACCATATGAGGAGAACAACTCTTAGTTTACATATAGTAAAAAGTAGTCGCAACCACGCTAGACGTCGTTCTAAATTGAAGAGATTGAAAAATCTAAGTAGTAGAACGAACTTAGATCGTAGTAGCAACAAAAGCACTTTTTATCTTTCTACTTTGGTGACTGCATCATTTTTTCCGGCAGAAGTAGAAGCAGAAAAAGAATTTAGGGACCTTAACAAATTTTGTAGTAAATTTGTTTTCTTTTTATCTATTATCTTCATAAATGTATTAGGTGTCGAATGCGTCAAAGGCCCCTCGCCTCCGCTGTTTAAGAAGCGTCTTGGCAAGTCTGTCGTCACCAAACCAACAATTGGTCGTAGCTGTTATCCCTGAAGCAGTATTGTGCTGCCGAGATTCTGCCGCAAAGGTTAAACAAGCTGCTCTGGAGGTTGTCGTGGAATGCGCTGATGCTCTACAAAGGTTAGATATTTCTATAGAAGTGGTAAAGAAAGTTGCTTGACAGCATTTTGAGACATCGTGGCTAAGTTGACCCGGCAAGTTTTGAAGTAACCACAGTCTTTAACAGCAGATACTGTAACTGAATTTTAAGATGATAAAAACTGTCAAAAGGCTCAGTAATAACGCACTTGCCTCGCTTTAAACTGCTAACTGTTGGAATCATATTGGAATAACCACAAATGTGTGGGTGACTATCTTCCATGGACTGGACGTGTTTATTTTTGTCGGGATAATTTTCAATACTTATTGGGTGTACGTGATTTATCTATAATATTCTCAGATGGAGCATCCCGAATGCGTTCAGCCAATACATATCTCTGTTAATGGGGGGCTTGGCTGGATCGTCGACGTTAGTCTCCGCTTCTATAATTGCGATTAGCCACTGCCTCCGGCATTTCCGTGAGCAGCTTCAGGAGAGCGAAGATCTTCTAAAACAACTCATTGAAGCCATTTGCACCCTTGTCGTGTCACCTTCTCGAGAAATCGTTAAAGCTGCTCTTGATTTCATTAAAGGGATTTTCAGCCTCATTGAGATGGACCAACTTAATAAATTTTCCAATCTTATCGTAAGTAGATAAGTCGAGCTTATTTACTAATTAACTGCACGCTAAGAATAAAACGGTCGTTGTTAAAAATACCGTTTGACACCCAGTTTACCCTAATTGTATTTGATTGCTTTTGTGAATATTTCATTTTTTCCCATTACAGATCTCACGTGTATGCGGTATGATAACGGATGACTGTGCTAGTCATTTCCGCTTAAAAATTAAGGGAATTCTGATTCGTTTTGTCCGCCGGTTGGGTTATGACATCGTGGCTTGTATGGTGCCCGAGTCCTATCAAAAGGTGCTCACGAACATTCGTAAATTGGAAAACCGCCGTCGAAAAATCAAGAGCATGACGAGTGGTTGCGGTGGAAGCGAGGAGAATGACGAAAATGCAGATGCGAAATCACAAAAAAGTCAACGCAGTCGAAAAGGAGATACTTTTGAACAGGTCCTTGGATCTGACAGTGATGCAAACGATGAGGACGATAATGACGATGGAGAAAAGCGAACAGAGCAAGAACGTGGAAAGAAGGTTTGTCATTTGATCACGTAAACGAACACTGACGAAGAAGTTCTACCCTAACCTGACTAAGCTTGTGTGTAGGCTTACCTGTTCTATATTATACTGCCTGCTGTCACGTTTTGGCACTGTTTATAACAAGTATTATGCATTTAATTCGCGTATGTTATTCCAGGACCGCAGCGCCTGGTTAAAGGAAGGCGATGAAGAGATTGTTGATCTAATGGACCCATCGGCAATGAGGCATATTTCAACGACCGATCCTGCAAAATACAAGCAGAAGCTGGCTAAAAAACTCACTCCTAGGCAAGAAGCCGAGAAAGCCGGATTTAAGGTTTCTGAGGACGGCAAATTGCTTATCACCAAGGAAATGCTTGAAGAAGATAATCCTCGTAAGTACAAGCGACTCATTTGCCTGAATATGTGTTAGTATTGCCTAAGTGAAGAGTTGAATTCTGCCAGTCAGTACGTTTTTATCACAAAATTTATTTTTTTGTTTCTATCTGTGCGTGTCTGTATGGTAGGTGGTAAAAAGCGAGGCCGCGAGGCTGCTGAAGAAGACTCGGACTTAGAAGATATTGATGACCTGCTGGGAGCTATAAGCGGTTACGCTAAATCTTCAAGACCGAAGAGCGTTAACAGTGGTGTGAGTCTTAAGTCGACAAAACCTACGGGGAGCACAAAGCCGATTGGTTCCGAATATCGCGCAAAAAGAGCAATGGGCGATGTAAAATTAAAGGCTCAGAAATACGACCCGTACGCCTACATACCCATGAATAGGATGGCCCTCAACAGAAGGTTGGTTAAATGCATTAACAACTATATAACTGTATTTGCTGTAGCTGAATGCATAAAAACCATATTGCAGAGTTTTCGAAAGCACTGTAATAAAGTCGAACTGATCTACTATGAGTAAATTAATTACACAGATAAGTAATCTTAACACAAATGAACACTTCCGTTTTCCCTTTTTTTGTTCTTTCATAGGAAACGTGCCAAAATGTCTGGTCAGTTTAGTAGCCTTGTCAAGGGTGCGGCAAAAGGAGCCCGAAAAGCGCGCAAACAACGGGCTAAGCAAGCGGTCTTTAAGAAGCGATAGACTACTCACCAAACATGTCTACCTATTATTAACTTCCATTTTCAGCAACAAACAAACCAGAGGAAAAATAGTGTTGTCGAAACAACTATTTTATTGTACATTAAATATACAATAAAATACATATGATGTTACTACCAACTGATTTAGTTGCTTCCCTGAAATTAGCTGCAACTTATAATTTGCTTCAATTAAATCATTATCTTTAATTGTTAATTTGGCAATAATTTTCTGATGGTTAGTGTGAAGCGCTTTCGTTGTAGGAACATTCCTAAATTGTCAAATTACCAAATTATGAACATTTATCTCAATATTTTTTTACAAACTAATTATGCTATATATAAATTGTCTACAATAAAATACAAATACATGTGAGATTAAGGACAGCTTACTTCAATATAAAACGCATTTAATGTAACGTTTCATTGCTTTTTTTTGTGTAAATCTCGTTCTAATTTGATACAGATTCAGTTGATTTGCAAAAACCTTTTGTTCCCTTATTTATCCTTCCTTACGCAAAGATCCTTGTCCATTATTCTCTTTCTGAATCCCACTATCTTTCTTGTACAAAACCTAAAACGACAAAAAACGACCACGAACTACCTCATTAAAAATGTTATCTTTAATTTAATTATACATCCATACCCTGTACACTGAAACACTCGACTTAGCTATCAGACTGCACCGTAATCATATACACCAATAATCTATTCAGATTGCAAGATAAATGGGTACATGTTCCAGAACTCTTTCTGGATCATGTCGCGGTGCATAGAGTGAAGATCATTACTGCTAGATTGTCGCATCATGTGACTGTTCATGCAAGGGACGTCACGATCCACACTTGAAACGGCAGATGTTATAGTATGTGTTGCAATTGTTGTATTTGTTGTTATTGCTGTCGTTGTTGTGCTTGATGCCGGCTCCGTGGCCTTTTTGCATGAAACTGGATCACCAGCATCGTTCCCTATAGTAGCCTTACGGTTGTAGTCTTTTGGCACTCGAACAATTGTTGTACCTAGCAAAACGGTTCATAGTCGAGTTATCGATAATTTAGATTTATCCGTTAATATCAAGAACAGGATTCGTAGACTACTGCAGTTTTTTACGTATAGCTTCATAGCGTAGGTTGACATCTTCCTGAAGGGGAAGATTAGGTGTGGTCATCGTATCTCTTAGACACTTTAAAATATAAACTATTCTTCAATAAATTGTCTATAGTCTAATGCAGTCCACAACGATCATATCGTTATGATTACTAACACTTAGTAAGACCAACAAATTACTACACGTTTTTAACACAACACACGTTCAAATATCCTTTTTTTCTATCCTATAAAACGTCAGGTTTTAGTGGAAGGCATTCGGAAATATTGGAGTATTTCGATAACCTACATTAACGGGTTATTAAAGAGATAAAACACCATTGTACCTTTCCGAAATTGGCTTGGTTCGTTATTGTAGTTGCAGTTAAACTCCTGAAAGAGGATCTCATTTTTATCAGCGCTAAGTGTCCCTCGCAATCGCTCTTCTGCTGCTGAAGTTGTTAGACCTCCTTTTTGGACCAGTGCCCAAAATGCGGTGTTATACAGGTTGTTGATATGGCAGTCTGCCTGTCGCCACGATAGGTAGTCCCTGCATGTATGTAGATAAAAGGTAGACGTCATCACCTACTCATAAAGAGATTTTATATTGAACTTGGAAGTCCTTAGACGCAGATCGATTGCCTTATATCTCAAATATAATAGTAACATCGCATGTAAAGATCAAATATTTGTGGTATAACAGTTCAAACAGTTGCAGTTGATCCTTGCCAACCTCAGATTTTGGTTTGTGGGGTAGAGTACCACTCTTGCATCAAAAGCTGGAGGACACAACAATGTTTTCTCGGGGAAGAATTCGGAGAAATAGAACACAAATGAAGAAGAGAACAGTGACGCAATGTTAGTCATTATTTTCGACGCACGCCGCTTGTAGATAGTGGCGTCTCGGCGGAATACAAATGAGTACTCGTCACTTTGACCGTATGCCATTGAGATCTCGTTGAATTCTTTCATTACTTCTTTGGCACATCGTGACATTAGATCCAGACCCTATAAACCAAATGAAATTAGCAAATATATATATACATATATGTCAAGCCACATTGCATCTCATTGAAAAACCGCATATGAACGGCGCTTAAACCAGCTTTCGCGTTAACGGTAGAAAGGTAATATATACATTTGTATTATTTCCAAGAAATATTAAAGAATATACAATACGCTACAATATTACTGACCATTGCCAAGCTTTGCGTTATCAGAAACACATGCCTAGTGCCAAGTGGAATAAATTATTTTCTACGAAATCAGTTACTAACAGTCTGATTCAGAATTGGTTTACAAATAATTTTGCACTACTGGTTAAGAATATTTTTATGTATTAAGATATACTTTTATATATTTCTTTAAACCAATTTTGGTTCAAATTGTTAGTACTTAAGACTATAAAAAATAACTATAATATTATATATATTATTAGAGCGTCTTAATAATTATAATACTCGATTGCTTTAACGTGCGCAATGACCTTCGTTTATTTTCGAAACTTTAATTTACCCGTTTATCATTAGGCTTTACGAAATCGTGGGCCTGAGTGAATTTATGGAAACCCTTTCCATCAAGCCGCACAACGATGTATGTGTTTGGAAGAACGTAATCGAGCTGCTCAAAATTACGAACATAATCGAATTTGCTTTTAGCCATTTTTGCGGATGTTAGTAGATGCTTCACTAGCCATAAATGGCCACTGATTCTCAATAACCCGAATGACTGCGAGGATTTCGGTCCGACTGTCACCTGAAACTGTTGATTTTTATTTTATAATATTCTAAATAATTTTTAGGGTTCCACCATACGATCATGATTGCCAAACAAATAACCAATAGAGTTCAAGTGGCTTTTGTTTTTATATAGTAAAGACTAAAAGTACCTTATATATATTTTTGGCAATGGCAAACAAAGAAGTCCCGAATATGATCTAAGAATTCACTGATTTTAAGCAAACGATGCTTATTCAATAGCATTAGGATTTTGTAAGAAAGTGCGCCCAAAAAGAGCACAAACGACATAAACTAATTATTTTTCGCAGGAGGTTGGTAGGATCATGCTAGCTATAACTTCAAATTCAAACAGAAATAGCCGTGGGTACCAACCATTGAATTAGCTCCTTCTCTCACCTGTGCTAACATTACGTTCCGACTTCGTAATTGACTTGGCACTGGCTTTGTATTTTGATTTTATATTATCGAACGGTACAGAGTCGTGACCACATATTTGTTCGCATAAATGGATAATTTATAGCTCTAGATAGCTAAAGATTTCACGTACAATATGTTAACGTGTTGCCGGTATCCTTAATGAAGTCGGATTAACATGGCGTTAGTTATTAAAATGCCACGGAAATTCTCAGCAGTTAAAACTTTATCGCACACCACCTTATGAATACTCATTTAACCCACAGTTTCGAATCTCTTCTTTTGCGCTCCAGAACTGACGCGAGAGCTGAAAAGACCCGATGAAAACAAAGATGAACGCATTACGTCCATTGGCTATAAGTATACGTATTTTCCATCAGCGCGATTTTCCTATTCCATTCAGTCGTTATAGTGCCTAGATCAGTTGAAATTTATTTACTAAATGAGATATTTATAAAAGTGCACGATATTACATTTGATACGCCGATCTTGCTAAGGCAGCATGCTTTTTTCTCAATGCGCATGCGCAAGAAATCAAAACACAATTGAACACATGGTATGGAACATTGGCATTTCGATCGCGCTTAACGTGGTGCACACGAAACGTTGATTGTAAAGAAAAATGGCATGTCCCTATAATGAAAGTCGTGTCGAGCTTGGATTTGCCGAGAAAACTAATTCATGGCAATTGAGATCAAAGTTTTTCCCGTCGAAGTTCGGTGGCAAGCCAGCATGGTTAGCGCTCAAAAAACTACCGAGAACCCTAATATGCTTCTGTGGAGAACCTCTTACATTTATTCTACAGGTATGAACAAGTGAACCAAAAGTGATTGAGGTGCGCCAATACAGTAGATGATAGTTCATTGCTTGTACCGCGGCTGTTTCTAAGATTATCTGTTATTGTTCTGAAATATTCGTTGAATTATCTGTTGAACATATTTTGTGTGTAAGCCAGAGCCAACACACGTGAAACCATTACACGCAATGTGCATTTTCAAGATAGTTTATATTGGAACGCTGGAGAACGGTAGAGAGCTAACATGCAAACGAGAGAAAAAAAGGAAAAATGTATGCGCATATTGAAGATAATAAATGACACCGAAAGACCTTTTTACCTTGTTCTATTTATTTAAGTTGTGCGTATGACAGATACTAACCATCAAAATATTTTAGCCAGAAACTGTAAGAGCTTGCTCTGTAACATAAGAAAAAAGCCATAAGTAATATTCTCAGGTACCTTTTGACACATTCAAAAATATACGATAGGAATAATTCAAATATAGTTGCAGATGTTGATTTGATTGCATCACAAAATAACAAGAATCCGATATAACTTATGGCACCCGAAGTAGCTTATTTGTGTTTCGGCAACGATGCAATACATGTTTATCTCACCCGTCGTATTTTATATGTCTTTAGCGGAGCTTCAATTTGCAGCCCGGGTGTTTTCAGCTAAAAATTTAGCTAGTAATATAATTTTGGCTCTCGAAAGTACGCATTTTCGGTCAAAAAAAAGTTTTAATAAAAATATATATGAATTTTGCTGCAGACTATAGGTTATTACAGACTAGATATTTGATTCCTTAAAACGGCTTTTGGGTGTGTATTTTACAACTAATATTTATGTGGATATGTACTTTGTTCTTCAGGCATATGCTCCTGTTGATGATCATCCTACGGCATTTCATCGCACGCTATTTATTTTTGGTTGTCAACCGTGTGTGGATAAAAAGAAACCCGATTCGATTGTAGTTTTCCGTTCGCAGTTGGGTCTCGTCAATGATTTCTACCCCGATGTACCTGCAGTCGAAGTCGAGGAGGGATCTGAATCGCCTTCGGCTGCCGATTTCCAACTGCTTTGTTGCGTTTGTGGTTGTCCTGGCCCTCAGATGTGTTCATTATGCAAACAACGCAACTATTGTTCTAAGCAACACCAAATCCTTGACTGGAAGAAGGCTCACAAGTTTGTATGCGTTGGTGTGAAAAAATCAGATAATGAGCCAGGTGCCGGAAGGGATAACAGACAACAAGCACCTCAGATTACCGATAACGCGGAGGATGTCCAATTGGAATCCATGGAAATTGATCAAGCCAACACAGTGGACATTGATGAGTTGGCTACTCGAATGAGTGCTCAGAGCTGTCTTGGAAAAAGTGACTTTACGGGGTTGGATAGCGAAGATCATTCATTACTAAAAGTTGACTGGGAAACATCAGTGGGGAGTGGACAAAATGGGATGCAGACCTTCACAAAACCGTCAACCGAGAGTAATTCAAAAGACACTTTTGCAAAGACGAGGAAGAAAAGGGAAAAACCCGCGAAGGACTACCTACACAAAGGTAATAAAGATGTACATTGAACACATTTGTCATGGCAAATGAACATGAATTTCGCAACCGGAAGAGAAAAATGAGTTCTGCCTTTTTGATACTTTTTTTTAGGGGGAATGCGATTTACCTAAGAGAAGTTTTTTGACAATTTGCAATATTCTTGTAGTAGAGATGGCCTCTTAATAAACATATTAAACTGTATTATCATGGCATGGTAATAATTACGTAATTATTTCTATTATTATATTAAAATGTGCATAAAGCATTTATTTACATTTTAAGCAATGCAATACAACATGCATGAAGATTCTCACTGTTGTAAGTATTTCTAGGGATCCTGCCCGAGTTCGATATTGAAATGGAGCCAGAGGAGATCATGGAGAATGAAGAAAAGAATGATACGCAGCAGGACCTAACCAAGTACCTCGAAGGCCTTGACAAAGACAGCATAGCTTGCATGAAGGAAATGGCACACTGTAATGAGAAAGATCTCAAGGTTTGGCCCTCAGCATTTTATCAGCTAAACGCTAAAAAATTATGTTATGACTTTCCTGGATATGTTATCTATCATGCTCTGTTGACGCTCTTTGCTTTACTGTTGACGTTAACGTTTGGATGCCGACTTAAGCGATGTTTTGCGCTCTAAACCATGGATTGGTTTAACATAACTTTCTTGGGTTGTGTAAACTAATCCACTACTTGCACAACAATTGACTCTGGCTGAATTTTCAGGAAATTGAAAATATATCAAAAAGTTTTAATGACAAAGCTTATAAACGGTTCAAGAAAATTGTCGACCATTATCCTGAGCAGATAATAAGATATTGCAAAGCTGGGAAGCCCCTATGGGTTTCAAGCCAAGACCTACCGAAGCAGGTGCCATCTTGCGAACTTTGCGGGTCTCCTAGAATATTTGAATTTCAGGTAATTACTATATCACAAAACATCTAATCATTTACCAAACAGAATGGTTATTTGCTGGTGAGTAGGCACAAGACATTTAAATACTACATCTTATTTAACTTGAATTCATTGAACAAGCTAAACCTGTAAGTCAAACCCTAAACGTTAGGAAAAGCATAGTCAGATCATAGTATTTGAGAAATTAGGAATAGCCAATGAGATAATACATCGCGAATATTCTCTAATCTTTTTAAATATTGTCCTACGTTTTATTAAAAATTAAATTTTGTAATATTAAGCATCAAAGTGAGTACCTTCGGTGCTCAAAGTGTCGCATGTAGTTAAGTTGAAGTCATGCCAAAACAAAGCTGCCTCCAGAATTATTCATGCCTCTGACAATTTCTCGTTTGAAATGCTCGTATACGCTGCAGCCAAATCACAATCAAAAGTCGGATTTCTTGATTCTAATATATACTGTTTATAATAGCTGGCCGAACAGACAAATTACCTGTCGGTCTCACAAAGCTACCAATCATATATTTAACCTAATGACATTTACAGTATATTTATTCTAAACAGGTAATGCCACATGCTTTAAATATAGCAAAGAATGATCTGTTAGACTGGGGAACCTTGGCAGTCTATACCTGTGCGAAGAATTGCAACACGGACGAGTACGTGAAGGAGTTTGTACACAGACAAGACTTCAGTCAATAAAGGTATAACACAAAAGCTAAGTTATTAAAACGCCCGTTGGTACTCCTTGTGATTAGTGACTTGTAAACTGATTTAAATTGTTAAAAGAAAAAATGAATACTGAAAATAAATACTGTTTTGAAATATATGACATTTGTATTTATTCTACCTCAATTATTGTCTTTGCTTCTCGATTTTTATTTCAGTTCGTTGCTTAAAACTACTTAAGACTACAATTTACCTATTTATCGCTATTTAACAATTACGATTCATATCGGAAGACCATGTCATAAAGACTTGTTTTTGAAAGAAATATCAAAGCTTTTGAACTTTTGGAAAATTTTCATCTAAACTGGGCTCAAAATCATCACTAGAATGTGTTGTATTTTCACACATCATATTTGTCTTAATTTGATTCATGTAATGCCTTTTCGACTGATCTAAATGGCTATAACATCATACAGGCATTTAAAAAAAAATAAAATGCAAAGTACAAATTAGCAGAAATCACCGATGTATTAACGGCTCATTGAATATTTTTGGCTTATAACACATATTGTAATATAGTCAAACGTGCAATTATGCATTATTCACTAGAGTTATTATCAAAAAAAAAGAATTCAAAAGGTTCAAGCGACAAACTTTGCGGGCTTTCCCTACCCACGCCCCTATAGCACTTCAAAAGCTCTTGTGCAGTATACACTTCTAACGTTGTAATTCATTAGCTTTTTATATCCATAATTAATAATCGTCAACAACGGCTATTCTTCACAAGGACCCTTTCGGGCTTGCATTTGACACAGATTGTCCTAACCATTGCACGCAAAATTCTGATCAACCTAACCGAAAGCACATAAAAGCCAGTAGCCATTACATGTTCGTGAGATGCCTGAATATCTTTCTCTTCTAATTAAGTATACATTTACTATTTCAGCACTTTGCTACGTTCCTTGATCACGAATGAACGCTACTAAGACTAGAATTAAATTTTTCTAATAATTTTTCTAATAAAAGAAAAAAATTTATACTTAGCTTATTCGGAACCTGATGTTTAGCATATAACATGTAAATGTTATTGTGATATTAAAATAGAACAAGAGAAGGAGCTCATTTTAGTTTCTATTAAATGAACATTATTGCTTTCATTACTAATCTTGTGATGATAGAAAACTTAGGTAACCAATAATAGTATTCTCTTTTAATTAAATGTAATAGTAAAGTATAACTAGAAAAGTCATATGCTTGTAGAGCGTACATCTAAGCGACTTTTTGTCCAGAAAGTGTTCTGGATATGTCTTACATGTATTGTTTTCATATTCTTCCTACAAGTACATTACAGTATGATTTACCATTGCTGCATGCGTTTAAATCTTACACAACCAACACTAGAGAGTTCTATCTGTAAACGTACGATGGCATGTACGCTCACATTATTACTGAAAAGGTCGCCAAAACATCAGATAATCTATTATCAAAAAGCCTGCTCTAAATTAAGGCTTGCATCTACTAAAGTGAGCATTTTTGGATGAGCCAGTTAAAAATTATTAAATTTGAGCTAGCTGAGGAAATCGAATTTCACTGGGATCCACATGGCTTATGCAGGAAGTGTTCATTGGATCGAAGCTCTATATATCACCTATTAGCGAAATCCTTATTCCTAATAATCGACGAAGAACAATGAGCCGTTTGTTCCTGCCGTATTCGACGGAGCGTGCCTCGATGATAGCACAATGCGTAGCATATTTGCGTGCTAATCTTGAGAGACACGTGGTGGTCGGGGGTTCGAATTTGAGCGTGGACACAACTCGTCTCATGATGCGAGCCAGTCGTCTGACGGAACTCGAAACATAAAATATGGGAGAACATGACGGACAAAAAGCATTCCGATGTGAGAATAAGATTGATGTAATAACAACTCGGCGCTCGGTAGATGCCCTTACTTTCATTTGCTCTCAGTGTGTCCTAGGCGTTGGTGCGCATCATATACAGAGGCTTCTATCTATCATGCGATTAAATACAATTTTTGGCATATAATTTGTATATGAATGGAGATCTTACAGTTCGATTCCCTTAGTAACATCACATGCTTTTTTGCTTACGCTTAAATGTTAATGAGTAGACATGCCGCCAGCGGGTAAACATTCAGAGCTTAGTGGTGCGTCTCCAGTTGTTTGTCTAAAATCGCCAGAACCAATCGTTCATTAAGACCAGCGCTTTGTTTGGGTTTCGCACACAAAACGGGTTTCGCAAATGATATAATAAAGATGGTTTGAAGTCCGCGACTACCACCACTCTGGGCCTGGGCCTCCAGGAGTGACGCTATGAGGCCAATCTCTTGCAAGACGTGCTGGATCAATTCCTTCCATTCTACGAAAAAATAGAACCGCAATTGTTTTCGTTATATATACTGTAAATGTTTTGAAAATTTACAATGAGAGATAGATACGCCCTTCGTTTATTGCCTGCCTTAAAAGATGACAACGTAAGAAATTCTGTGGCACTATTTAACCTTATATTGTGAATATTTCAGAAACACTTTCGAATATCTTCATAAAGTATTTAATTATCTCTGGCTGAAAAAGCAAGAGGTTGGATCAGCCACGTCAGTAATATAGATTTAACGATAGTGTGACAAAAATAAGAAGAAACCTGGAAACGTAATGGCGACTTACGATGGCTTGAAAGGCAATTTAAAAAAAAAGAAAAATTCGGTTGCAAAAACCTTAAAAAGTAAGGTATAAATACTTAAAACATAAAGTTTTTTACGCATCTTATTCTATCTTAATTGTCCACTATGCTTTTATTATATTTTAATTATCTATGAACGTTTTTTTAAATTTTTATAGAGAAATTCAGCAGGTTTTTCTGAAGCTGGTTTAAATGTGATTCTTAGTTTTGGTTTAACAAGATGACAACGCCGGATTTCGAGAGGGATGAAATTTCTTTTCAATAGTGTATGGTACTTGACTATCGGCAACCGAAAAATAAAGACAGAAATAGTTAAGAGACATAGCTTTATGTTTTGACTAATTTAATAGTTGAAAGAGCAAGTTTACGTCTTTATTATCTCGCCACTACGAATACTCTACTTGTTCATATAATATTAACAAATATAGAAGTTTCAACAACTTTACCGAATTACAACCTCGAATACCACTGCTTTAGCGTATCTACCTTGCTGTAGATCAGAATCAAGTTTAGCGAAAAAAAAATCCGTTGAGCATCAGTTAGGTTGCGCACTTGACACACGATAGAATTTTATAAATATGGATTTCTGTGGAACATTAGTTGTGTATGTGGCATCGTAGATTACAAGATTTGCTAGATCCTATCAAAAGCTGTCCGCAGTCAGCTTTGAAACGTTATTGAGTTTCGCTAATCTGTTGCCAACAGCATAAGATATGATGCTATCGATGATTGCATGTGGTAAGTAGAATGCGTATGTGACATTCTACTGCATTTTGATAGAGTTGCAATGGCAGTCGCTCCTGTTTCGATGTACTTCTTCTTTACTTATTCCCATACACCCGCTATGACAGTCAAAAGATGTTATTGTTTATGGCAAACCATGAGTCGTGACAGTGTGGGTGGGTTCTTTCGATGTTTATTTCCCAAAACGTCAGTATATGGTGATGACTAGCGTTACACTATTGCGCCTAATAACCATTCGCAATAGCTGGCCTTTGGAAAAATCGGGTCAGCAAGCAGGACGATTGCCCCGTTGAGAAGAGTTGGTGTTTATTAACAATATTCGAAGGATTTTTAAGACAATTTTCTTAGGGTTACTTAGCGTTTACTTTTATCGATAACTTTGATATGATATGACTGAGTTCGATACTGAAAGATAGATAGTAATAAATGCTTTTCAATGAATTCAATAGCGCAGAACACTAACCTGCTTCACCGAGCTTACTACGTTGTTGATCTACTGAGATAAAATATGGCATAACTCTCTTACATTTTTGGTCGTCGACAAAAAACTGGACGGTGATACGAACTTTTGGTAACGACGACTACCTTACGCAGCTGTGGCTCTATATAGGGAATGAGAAGAATATGGGGTCGTAGACCTAAAGCACTAAGAAAGCCGGACTGAAATGAGCAACACATAGAAAAGCAAGAAACCAAAAGCTAGATCGAATTTTCATTATGTTAAATCAAGTGTTCGTTATAAGCAACTGTAAATTATTTTTTAAAAATGCAAGTGTTTGTTTCTATTTAAGAGAAACATGCGCGGCTCACCTTGCGGAGTATTTTTAGATTTTCTTTGCTGAACTTATGTAGTGCAGTCAGACTAAATTCGTAGTTTTCTGTCGGTGTTCCAACGAGTAGTAAACAGGCTAAGATGACAGCATAGTTTACCTGCATCCTTCAAAGATACATAAAGAGTAACGAATGCAATAAATATTATTATCAAAGTGACTAAACGTTTCGCGTTAGTCGTGGATAGAACTTTTTGCAATATTGCAAACCGAACAATTGCAAATTATTCCGCTATTTCTTTTGTGGCTTAGAAAAAATGGTATCACGTACCTTTACGAAAGTGATCCGAGATATTCAAAAGCAGTGTTTCTAACACTTTGAAAACTAATGCTATACAAAATGTTATACTTTTAGTACTTGAGAACGTCCGTAATGGCTCTCTTGCGACGTGCAGTTCATTATATCGGTAACAGTATGTAACCAGCTAAATATGGTTGTTTTTACTGAACAACACAAATTTTAACACTAACGCCGAGAGCGGCGGTTAAATTTACTAACTAGACGCTCGCCGAGCGTCACTATCGAGCCCCGCCGCGTTTCATCGCATAAAGTGCATTAACCTAACGGTTTTTCCATTATAGCATAATGGTTTAAAAATGTTTTATGGATTACGTGTAAAGTTTTTCATTTCACGAAGTGTCATAGAGGTATATTAACCATTATATATACTTTGGTTATTCAATTTTCTTTATTTATATATTTATTTGTCTATATGAAGTATTGCACGCAATATTCAATCTGACTTCGATATATATTTGTATTTCATAAGTGGCTTGTGCTTTTTGTTTGTTGGTCCTGTCGAATAACCAACCGCCGTTAGCCGGGTTGATTCAGTTTATCAGTTACTATAGCGCAGTCACAATAAATAGTCATACATACATAACATACAGTACGTTGTTATGCGAATTCTCATTTCTTTTTGAGAAATAGTTTGTTGTTATGGTTGATCACTGGCCACAACATGATGCAAGCGATACAAAAAAACCAAGCCCTATGCTTGTGCTGATGAATGAATGAAATAATGCAATTCCCCAACCGGAACAGTGAAATGTTATTGCATGAATGATAGCCAATGAAAAGTGTACGGTATTTTACGTTCATAGTAGTATTTGCTGACGACAGTATAAATACAGCCTAGGTAGCATCTGGTGAATTATTTTGAACAATTTAAATTGGCTACGGCAATTTTGTTAGGGTTTTAAAATACGACTTGTACACTTGATGTGATGCAGGATTTTCTTCAGTTTCCGTGCATTAACTCTGCAACGTATGTGCACGACAAAAAAAATCATCTATCGTAAGTAATTTCGAAAAGACAACGGCAACTGTTCGATTACAAGTTGCATAAACGTGACCATACGACGCAACGGTAACTGACTACAGCTATACCTTGGCCAGAATCAGTAAAAAGAAGTGTTTTCTATTGAATCCGTAACGCTGATGTTGTCAAGTGTGGGAAAACTGTGATGCCTCACGAAGAAAACGTCAATAAGCACATCTCCATAGTTTTCTTCACGTCTATGGTACCACAAGAATAGGAATATTTTTTGAATAGGCTATTCAAAATACGGAAGTTATTTTTGCCTACATTAATTAAAGTTAATATTTTGGCATTACTTAACATGTTTTGCTTAATGCGGCCGGTGTTCAAAGAGTAACCGTAGCTCATTTCAAATGGCTTTTAACTTCTCGTTGCCAGATGATATAAATATATACACTAACATTATATATGATTTATTACACTAATAAAATTGAATTTAAAGTTCATCATGTTTATACTGCAATAGAACATTATTGAGAACTAAAAATAGTTTTAATCCATAATTTGAGCTCGTCGCGCCTTTTAAGACAAAATTGTCAGGACGCAGATCCTGTCCCCCTTTTGAAGAAATGGTTGACTAGCTTGAACTGTTGAGATGGAGCAGTTAGTGCAGTCAGTTACGTGATACCTAAGCATTTATTGCAACAGAGCCACCATATACTTATGGAAAACTTCATTTCTATCCCTACTAAAGTTTTTTTTGTCAATTGAAAGCAGTGTCAGTCTGCCTGCGTACCGATAACAGTTAAGTCGAAAAATAGTACGTTATTTGAGAGAATCCACTAATTGAATAACTAGCTTGTAGCAATTCAGAGCACCACAGTGGACTTCATAAAAGTTGTTAAGATTGCTAGTACGACAAAACATCGTTGCATGCTGCACGGTCGGTCCGCCCCCTGATTAACGGACCGAACTAGCCATTATTACCGCTTATTACAAGCGCTTCATTTTGCCAAACATTGGAAGAGCACAGCCACGCCAAACAGTAATGGTGTGACTATTTCGACATCGATACCTACTATTAAGCGTCTGCGCTCTACCGTTCACACGTTGACCAATTGCTATTATTGGCCGACTAACCGCTATGGAGACGGAACCGATATCCACTCCCTAAGCCGCCCGACAGTTGTGAACAATTGCTTTGCTCTGCTCTGTTCTGCTACCTTGTAGAATTGCTATTGCACAAAGCTTTGTAGCCTTACGCGTACTTCTTAGATATAGACACACACACATATATATATATATATAACACTGAAGCGAGCATTTTTTTAAAAAAGATCTCGTTGATTAGTGAACTACCGTTAGTCGAATCGTTTGCCACTTTGGCGATGAAGGTATAGCGAGACGAATGTCTGTTTAGCTGTTCGGTGGTTGTATCAATCTCCAAGATAGCCTATGCCTAAAATTCAAGCGGGCTGCTTGTTAAACAATATTTAAAAGGGGCATGCCAAATACTATCGATGCGGTGGGACAAACAACCTAACCTGTTACAAGAAAAAAAACCAGTACTGCGTCGCAAGTCTTGCGCAATTTGAATTTAGAAGGTCATTGAATAATTCCGTGTTAGAAAAGTGTAAACTTCAAAGTAGATCTCTCAATTAAATTAATACACTCTAAAAAAGGCGTTCACATTTTGAAATAATTTACAAACTCCATAATTGAAGTGCCATTTTTTTTGGTCCGTTTTCACACCATGCAAGGTGCAATGTATCTTCAAAGTTTACTTAATATTAGTTATTGCGATTTGCGGCTCCTGCAGTGCCTTCCTGTCCTGTTATGTACCTGCTTTGCAAGTACATGTTTTACACTTGTTTGTCAGTTGCTGTGTGGTGAGCAACTATGTTTGACCCAGCTTCTTAGGACAGTCAGTAAGTAGGTAAATATAGCTAATAATTATTTTTTTTATTTTTTATTTTATATATATAATTTTATTATAAAAAATATTAGTACTATAGAATTCATTCGAGTGAAACATTATCGTTAATGTTATTATTGGTATTACAACTCACCATTATACATGTAGCTGTTCCAACAAATACGACGACCATTACAGTTTATAAATAATTTTCTACCATCGAGACAACGTGAATGCACATGGTAAAGCCCATTCCAGGGCAAATCGACAACGAGTATTAGAATAGCCAATATATCGTACTAGTTTTGCCAAACCGGACTAAATAAACAATTAATTTAATTGGCGCGTTACAGTGTAGCAGCCCGCGGAAGCTAGACTTAGCTTACCAAATGATCGCATCCAAAATAAAGCGGACCCGCCTTGAAAGAATTTGCACCAGCATCAGTCTAGTGGACCTCTTTAGACGTTGGTAATAAACTGCGCTAATATTAAACCTTACCTATATGCTGGTTGCTATGTTTGAGTCGCCATTGGACCTCCCGATTCTTACAATACATTCTTTTTTAAGGGGCGCAAGCAAAGACACGGTGTGCGTTTTCGACCGTGCTGCCATCTTAATACACCCTGTACTAAAAAGCTAAAACAATGAATTAACGTATTAACTGCTGATATATATCACTGTATGACTGATCAGTTAGCGAAATTCGGAAAAATCAGCGTCCGTACCCAACAGCGTCAATAACCCTTAGTGGTAGAAGATACAACTTCGTGTGTGCATGACACAGCCTCTCCTGCATCTCTATTCATGTCCACATGTTACTTGTTTCAGAATGGCCGTGAGCCACTGGGTTGTCTGCTGTGGGTTTGATGGAATACCCTTTGGTATACATAATGAAATAGAGCTTGTAAGACGAAAATTCTTACGAAAAATCGATGCGGTCTGCCTTTTCAACTCCGCCTCCCCTTCGGTAAATAATTTGTAGTAACTAAATAAATTATACTCTTACAAAGTATATGATTCTCGCTGCACTGGTTCATCTGCCATAAATGGAACCTGTTACACCATAATAGATTATATATCATATTGAATTTGTAATGTACGGTTGTGAAAGGCTCGCGATAAAGTAGTCATGTATAAGATTTTAAAGCCAACCCTGATCCGAAAAATAGATCCTCTGTATACATGACATTCAGGTTCTAAGAAGGTCATTGTGCACCGTACCGTTACAACTGGTTTTTCCTTAAAGTAGTTACAATTTATAACGACCGTTCTACTCTGCTACAAAAGAGGTTCCATTGAACGGTCGAATATTATATAGAATAACTGTTTTATTGCCAGTAGCTTGTGCGTCAAATGCCATATCTATTTTTCGAACTAATCACAATCAAACAAAGAAACCATTAGTCCATCTGTGTTTTTATGTATGTCGACAAAAAGGTTCTTCACAAATCGTTCACTAGTTTATTGTTATTATTCAGCTTATCCGTTAACTGAACGATTTACCAACAACTTAACTGAGGCCCTTTCCACAATAATGATGAAACTCGAGCATTATCGTTTGTACGAAGACAGTTTATAGCCATTCTTTATCATGATAAAACAGAATGTATATATTTTCCGTCGATTCGTTTAATGCGAGAGTTTTTATTAATAGACGACTAACGTAACTTACTACATGCCACCTAGAATGATGATACAATTTAGATAGCGAAGTTTGTTACGCAAATTGTCCAGTGACCTAAATGTACTACTCGTATAGTTTTGATTTTGTGTCCTTATAGGCGCAGTGAGAAACTGTTACTACCACTGCTAGCAAGCAATTTGTTAATAAAAACAGCACATATCTTAGATGACAAACGTATAACCAAAATCAATGTCAATATGTGGAAGTTCTTGGACAGTGCTGCAGGTACAAGCAAAATTCAACTTGCAAACTATCTGTAAGCAATAGGCAACAAATAATGGTAATATCTTAGAAATGTTCTCATAAAACTTATTGAAGCATTTAACTGCTTAGCAGGTTTGTGTGTCCTATGGACTAAAAGATAAGTACCCTATAGGATGATTCAGTAGGGATTCTATACGAATCGAGAGCAGTTACAGCTAACAGCTCAAGTGACTGAATAGATTTCTTAGTAGATTGCACCAATGTAATCAATTTAATCTTCTCGATAAG